AGAAAACTATAATTTTGCCTGTGGTTCTGTATGGGTGTGAAATTTGGTCTCTGACATTAAGGGAGGAACATAGCCTGAGGGTGTTTGAGAACAGGGTGTTGAAGAGAGTATTTGGACCGAAGAGAGATGAAGTGACAGGAGGTTGGAGAGAACTGCATAATGAGGAGCTTCATAACTTGTACTGTTCTCCAAGTATAATTAGATTGATCAAGTCAAGGAGGATGAGGTAGGCAGGGCATGTAGCACAAATGGGGGAGACGAGGAATGCGTATAAGATATTGGTGGGAAAGCCAGAAGGAAAGAGACCTCTGGGAAGACCAAGGCGTAGGTGGGTGGACAATATTAAAATGGATCTTAGAGAGATAGGATGGTATGGATTGGATAGATCTGGCTCAGGATAGGGACCAGTGGATGGCTCTTGTGAACACGGTAATGAACCTTCGGGTTCCATAAAGTGTTGGGAAATTCTTGGGTAGCTGCAGAACTGGGGGCTCCTCCAGAAGGGCTCAGCTCCATGAATAAGTAAATATGCTGTACCAATGTAACACCGGTTGAGAATTCAACAGGAAGTGGCATAACTTGTTATTTAAACTTCTGCTTCTTTATGCCGTATTCGTTTCAACTCCCAGATGTTACCGAATAATAGTTCGAGGGCGACGTTTTATATTGTCACGTGTCCGGGGTTCCGTGACTAATAATAACGGGTTCTGGATTTGTTGATTAGATTTATTGGTACTTTATTACAATTACTCTTAATTACAATCAATTATAACAGCTCACAATAAATGACTGCCTAAAGGTTCGGCCACACAGAGCGCTACGCTATGTTCGCTAAGTATGCTATGTACGCTGTGTACACTCTGCGACGCAGCTAACATAGAGAACATAGCGTACGTAGCGTACGGAAGTCTGTGTGGCCAGTCACATTGGCAATAAAGGGAGATATTTTTCTGTTGGTATAGCGAACATAGCGTACGTAGCGCTGTGTGTGGCCGAACCTTAAGACTCTCTCCATTCTTTACTGGACTACGAATGTCTTCTCTTTCACTGTGACGTCTGTGACTGACTTGGTTCTGATTTACGAATCAATCGCTTTTTCAGCTTCTGTTGTCCGCTGGCTAACACTCAACTACTGAACTGTCTTCTGAGTTCTCTTATGGCTGAATCAACTGCCGAATCAATTAGGTCCCTCCTTTATAACTTCGGGTCGAACCGAATAGAGATCACCACTTCTAAGAGTTCCTCTGTTATTGCGTGCCTGTTCTTTGTGACGGATACTCGGCTAGCGAATTGCTACCCAACAACGGATATCCTTCCACTGTTAAGAGTGTAACCTCAGGAATGTGTTTACAGAACCGTTGTGTAGCAATGGTTATATGCGCCACAACATCATGTCTTGCGAGTAACACATCAGTTGATCACTGTGGTCGCGGTGCAAGGGCCAAGAAAGCCAACCCCTTATACTTTCAACACATGTAGGTAGTCGTAGGTCGCCTATAGTACACTACACTTCATAATGTTGTATTTTAGCGTCCTGTTGCACTGATTTTCACCCATGATATGTATACAGTTGCCGTCTTGTAGTGCACTCAGTTTCACCTCTTACTTCACGACATGTTTCGGCAACATAGTGCCATCATCAGGTGCCCTAATTACGCTAATCTATTGCATTGCTTGTCTTTGTATGTCTTTATACAATTATTTAAAAAGTATTTAAAAAGTGCGTATTTGTCAACTATAATAAATTTACACACACTAAACCTTGTTAAGATTATTCATCTTACGTGTCTTAATTAAAACTTGCGTGTGGTTCTTCCACTATGGGGGGTCGTTTTTCTTATATTCTGTGTAAACCGTGTCTTGTGATGTGTGTTCCCTTCTTAGCTGCGAGTGTTGTTGAACATTACAACACTCGCAGCTTACAAATTGTATATGTATATTATAGATGCTTCATTTCAAGTGTCTAGGAAGTGACGTAGAAGCAAGGAAGGAAACAGCTGAGATTTCGTAGAGCAATGTCCTCCAACTCTGCTACGTGAAAGTGAATCCTGGACGGTTAGAACAAGAGACATGAACAGAACACACTCACTGCAGATGAGACCCTTAAAGACAGTTGAAGGCTACATCATATCGGGGATCAAATTATTGGGAACGGGCTGAAAATACATTCAGCACAATATGAAATAGATAAAAACAGGCAAAATGAGATAAATCATTTTGTTAGAATGACCGATTAAAAATAACCCGAAACATCAGAAGCAAGAAGCAAAATGACCNGGATCAAATTATTGGGAACGGGCTGAAAATACATTCAGCACAATATAAAATAGTTAAAAACAGGCAAAATGAGATAAATCATTTGGTTAGAATGACCGATGAAAAATAACCCGAACATCAGAAGTAAGAAGCAAAATGACGCCGAGACCCAGGATAACCTGGGGAAAATGGAATATTTGGGGTCGGAACAAGCTTAATTGTACTGTACTGTGATGTGAGGGACTGGAAGTTCGGCCATAGAGAAGAACTGGAGGCAGAACGCTGTTAATGGGATTGCAGCCTTTGGCGATTTAGAATTGAGAGCTCAGTAGACTGCATTGTGATATGCTGCAACTTTGTTGGAAACATTGCTCGGGTTAACAGTACTCACGGAGTCACAAGCAGAGATTCAGTTCTGCTTTCAAATTATTCGAGTTGAGAACCCAGTTTTACTCCTCAGAATGTCGTGTTCTGTTGAGTATAGATCTGTTCACTTTCCGTTTACTTCTTTCCAGTTGGCCTCAGGACGCATTTTAAATTCTTAGCTAGCAAATTCAAAATCAATTTACACGTAAGCACTTCACTGTTCATGTTGTTACATTACTTATGTACGTGTATGTTCAAAGTTTCGTGTAATCATTCAGCAGTTAAATATGCCTCTTGTCGCCACAGCACGACACGTCCTCAAGAGCCGTCGTCTGCAGTTGCAGACAGTCGACAAGAGGTGGTCCTCCAACTTGGGTTTGGGCGGAGCCTATGACTCATTATGGTAAAGGAATGTTACGAAATGCTACACAGCGTGTTCTTTCGAATGATTTAAGCAGTGGAAAATTTACGTGAGATTTGGAACTTGGAACATGAGCAAACTAGAGGGAAAACTCACCGAAGAGTCTTGGAAGATTCACGCATGGACGACAGAATACAGTGAACCCACACTAATCTGGTTACAGTTAATACGGTTGTCGGATAATCCGGATCGATATATGAAAAATGGAAAATTCTGTTCACAGTTCAGTACATACTTTAAAACACACGTGGCATTTAGGAGAAAGAAGGGTTAGAGCAAGAGGACTTTCAGACTGTGTTGAGGGGAGCTGCAGAGACTGAAACCACGCGATAAAATATCCAAGTTTGGCTTCAGCTGGATGAAGGAAACCCTGGATTTCAGCTTCCGACAGAGGAAAAAATTTCTGCAATAATTTGTTGTTTATTTTCATCAGCACTATCTGTTTTATTAAACTACGCTTTTTCTATCTTTTGCTTAATTAATTCGGATTATCCTTTAATCCGGATGACCTCGCCCCTGAATTAGCGAGGGTTCACTATAATATGAAAATAAATCTTAATTACTAAGGGCAGGAGGGTTCGGAGTGGTTTAATCTGTCTCAAGATATGTTCCAGTGGCGAGCCCTTGTGAATACGATGGGGAAAGCTTTGAGTAGATAAGATACTACCAGCTTCTGAAAGTGACTCTGCCTCATGGTTCAGCCAGTTGCGGCGGTAAGACAGCGATACTGAGTGCAGGAAGAAACAGACAGCATTCACTAGAAATAACGAAGTGCTAATTAGGCTCGTCTCCCTGTTGAAACTGCAAACCGAACGCGGCGGTTCAGTGATGAGTTCCTCGAAGGACTGAGTTAGATTTTCGTCTTGTGCTCTGAAACTGTGGTCGCAACCCAGAACAGCGCAGTCTGAACTTTGAGTTCAGCAGAACACGAAAACCTCACAGAAGTCCTGCATGAATGAGAAACTTGAGCGCTAATTTGCAACATGATTGAGTCATCTCATTAATGTCCCCATTTGACGTACTGCTATAGCAGCGGGCATGGGTTTCTTTTTGGTAAGTAACTTTCGGTAACCTGGCAGCGGAAAGGGTCGCCATTTCTCCACTACGCATGCGTAGAGGGATGCCTGTTGCCTGTACCTTCCCAATTTGTCAGCGACCGGATAAGAAGGGGAGACCACGAGCACCACGAGATTGAACCGTGTGGCGGTCTCAGTGTTGCCTGTGCGCTGCTGACGAGCGCACGTGTGCGTCCCTACTGGTCCAGCGGGTGTCAGTGGAAGTTGCGGCACGCGTGAGACATGATCAGCACACACATTCACTGCCAGTGCGCTTGGTTCGACGTCCGGGTCGAACTGTTTCTTGAGTCGAGAGGTTTCGCCGGCAGGGTTACTGGATACTAGGTAGGCTGTTTGTATTTTGCATAAGTTGCAGTTTTACATAAGTTCCCTTGACAGTGGTGCAATTCTGCTGAGATGTTGCTCATGTGTAGGCAAATTATTGATCAGTAGCTGCCATATTAGGTTAAATCTTGTATTTTCTTTTAAACAGACTTACATGTTCGTACGAAAATCTATAAGCGATATTAATGCACATAAATTAAAAGTAATGTATATATATTTATTTTTACATTTCTTATATTAAAATCACAGAGTGTAATTATAAATAAGTATCCGGTTTATTCTAGTAATGTTCATACTAGAGATCGCTCGGTATTACCGACAGACATTCTAAACTGACAATACGGAAATATTTTGACATGCCCTTCTAAAGAAAAATGAAACTGATTTGAAACACATTAGATACATTTAAAACAAGTTATTTTGTAAATGATTAGGCAACTGATTTGTTTATTGAATCATTTTCCAAAAATATTTTCATGTAGTCAGGGTCTAGCAGTGTTACGATTTACAATGTTCGTCACGTTACATTACTTAGGTAACACCAGTACTGTGAAATGCGTTTCTCTATGGAATCTTTGGGCCCGCAGCCATTCTCGTGAATTGCTCCGTGTGTACAGATAAATTGAGGCACACTTCGCTTAATTTTGTAAGCGACCGATTTAGTTGAATTCGTTGTGCCAACTCTCTGCGGACAACTTGGAGAGTTTCTGGGTTCGAGTCGCGATTCTTAAGGCTGTCTCGCAGTCGGAATGTCTAAGTCCGTATGAATGCAGGACTGTAAGATATTCCATATATTCAGATCTGTTGGTGCAACCGACACAAAGGGTTCCACTGTCCGAGCTAGACAGATACATTACGATTTAACCACAAAAGTAATCCATTAAGTTCTCAACACATAACATCAGTGCGACTTTTGCATGCCCCGCCTATCCGCCTATGCATATGACCCGTTCTCAGAGCGTCTCAGTGGTCTCACGTTAAGTAGACAACACAGGCACACCGAAGCTATTGTTGAGTGTTGACAAGCGCCTGAAGCATGTGTACTGTCAGATGCAACACTGGGGAAACTTCGTTAGCGAGTGTTGCTGGTATTGCCTTTATAGTATAGCTCAGTCACTGTAGTGAGTAGGGAACGTGCTTCACTGCCGACGAATCGCGCTTGGAATGTCGGCAAGGAAAAGAGATTTCTCTCTTCTCCACGATGTTCTAACCGACTCTCGTACCTACCCAACCTCCGGAACCCCCCAACCGGAAGGTTGTTTCCCCGGAGGTGAAGCCGACAGGGCGTGAAGCTGACCACTTACCTCCATCCATCCAGTAGCCAGATTTTGTGTACATGGAGCTCTACATCAGCTCCCCATATGTCTAGACGACTTGATGTCTAATTAAGCACAGGGTAAACTTTGCCGTATTACTAACAATGGTAAAAGAATAACACGAAATAAAGTTCAAAATATGAAGTTTTCGCTGTGGTAACTATCTTCTGGGATGTTACGCCCTATAGTTTGGTGCACGTTAAGCGACGATTCGGAGAAACCTACTCCATCTTTAGAGTCAAACATATGCTAAGCAAGTCACGAATAAGAATCAAGAAATATACTGCTTGGTCATGGTTATTAAGGGGTTCGGTAAATGAACTCTGTACTAAGGCTTTCAGGTCTGAAGTTCATATGAATAATACTTAAATGTTCAGTTCGTACCTCACAGGAAACACATTACGTCTCCGCAACAAAGCCAAACCGGTTAACGCTGTTTAGAGAAATAATCGCTGTTTATTGTGAGAATCATACGGAACACTTAAATACACTGTGTTGGCAGAATGCAGAATTTTTAATGTTAGAGCAGGTGGTATATATAGTAACCACTGAGCTTCAAAGATATAAGCGAATACTATTTAGAATGGTATTTACGAATAATGAAAAGATAAGAAATCCGTGTGCTAGACAGGAAGCTAAAAAATATAGGCCAGCGTCCACGAAAGAAAGCAATAACACCAAATTCCGTCATACAGTTGTGTTTCTGGGCGCTGGGCAAGTAATGTCTGTAGCAGTTGGCGGTTGAAATTGGGAATAAAGTTTTCAAATGACGTTACGTTATGGCAGCATAAGTTTGCCTCACAAAAATCTGTTGTGTAATGAAGTAGTTTCGGGGAGGGAGTCCCCCCGCTGTGGCGTGCACAGAAGGCAGACTTTGTTGGCGAAAGTTAATGCAGCCTGCAGCCCACTTTGCGGACGGACGGCAGAGTTTGTTACAGGCACAAAGATCCCCAGGAGAGAAACAGGTTCATTAGCCCCATTAACTTATGGGCCCTTGTTCACACAACTCGGTCGAAGGACGGGACATGACTTTAGGCTGCACAAAGACACCGAATGTCGCGATGGAGGGGGTATCCCTTCTGCTTTGTTTTGCGGAGGTCCCGGGCTCATACGTTGGCCCTGAGACCAGTTATCCTGATTTGTGTGTTTCGTGGTTGTCCGTAATCCCATCAGGCCAATTAATCCCTCACATTAAGTCACGACAGTTTCCTTCCACGCGCTTTAAGCTCAAGTTATCCCTGGCCTTAACGTAATTACGCACCACGCCTTGAAGATGTGTGGGGGAGTGTAGGTACAGCTCCAAGCGTTCTTAACATACACATTAGATGGAAGTGAGTGGTTAGATTAACGCCCCAGCCGCTTTCCCTGAAGGAAAACAGCTCCATGTACTCACTGGATAGGAGACTAGATGGGGCTTCCGTACGGTCTGCGGAGACGAGAATCTCTCATCCCTGATGGAAATGGAACCACGATGCCTCCCGTCCAGTCTGTAGCCACATGCTATGCGGATTGCACTACCCATCCTTCCCAGGCGTCCTACCATTCCACGCAACAAGCCTGGAGCCCGAACTGCTGACTCGTATACAGTGAGACGGGAGCTGACGAGGTCGTTATGAAGACAATTGTCGACATTTTTCTGGAGAGACTGAGAAGAACTACGAAAATCTCAAGTCAGCCAGTAATCCAGCAGAGAACAGATCTGAGAACCCCGCGAGAGTGACCGCCACACTAACCTACTCGGTAGCACACATGGAAAGCTCTGGAAAAGGGCGGTCGGGTAGCAGGTAGAAGATGAAAACTGAAAATATTGTGACATGCTGCCTGAAAGCCGGACTATAGGACATCCATCGCTGCGCAACGGGCAATGAGAACGCATGCTACCTAGGAAACTGCCTACCCAGCAGAGGCAGAATTGTTGAATTCCCGTGGCAACGGGTAGACCAGCTAACAGTGAAACTGAACCCTTCGACAAGGTGGCTTCTATCCCGTTCGAGTGACTGACTGACTGACCGTCAGTTGCCATGTGGCTTTGACTTTGACTTTGACTTGAGGACCAAGTCAGTTCGTATCCGACGAGAGCTAGGAAGAGAGTTCTGATCCAACAGGCGATCCGAGAAGAACGAAGAACGAAGACGCTCCACCGAGAACAGCGGCGCAAGAGTGTATAGCAGTTGAAGCGGAAACGTCTAAGGGCGTTGTTAGTGAGGGTGGTTATAATTTCGAGTGTAAACAAACAAATGTCAAATAAACACATTCGTCTAAACCGAGACCCACATAAATTTCTTGCCGCGTTACCTAGGAAACACGCGACAATATTTTGACTATGCAAGTATTTCAAATTGGATTGAACTGGCTCACAATTTTGTGGAGATGATTCATATTCATCCGCAAGACAAATCTGTGACGAGATGTGCAGGCACGTACTGCTGTCTAATATTTGGGTTCAGGATCTGTATGTAACCTGAACTTCGCTTATAACGTGCAGGCCGGGAAGTGAGAGCTCACGTGGGAACAACTGGATGTAGGTGGTAGGACAGTGTCTGCAGAACATATTGTATGAGCACGTGTTCTGGGTTTATGTGACTCTGAAGAGTTCCAATTAGGATTTTGTGAACACGGCAACGGACTCTCGTATGCCATTAAATTTCTTAATGAGTTGAACGGATATCAGTGTCTCTAGAAGCAGATAGCGCGGCGAACACTTAGACCTCCTGCTTGAGCGTACAGTGACCGTGTGCAAATTCATTAGACCTACAAGTGCAGCCATGCATAATAGATAAGCGCCGTTCCTGCAGCTGTATTAAATTCCGCCGAAACCCATCGTATTCGGACGGTTTGATATGAGAACCACAGAACTGTCTCTCTCTCACTCTCTCACACACACACACACACAGACGCCAGGTTATGATCTGCAATCAACCCTGCTGCCAGCAACAGCAAGGCCTCTGTAATAAGCTCCCTCGAGGCCTCAACTCGGATGGTAACGCGGTTTCACCGTCATTCTTCCGTCCCGCCTCTGATGAACGCGCCTACGCGTTCCTGCGTAAGCCGGCTGTGTGACGTCTTCGCATGGACATCGTATAAAGCCGGGACAGAACTGGGTACTTCTGGCATGTTCTTTATGTACGAGTACGTACAGATATGACAGATAACAACTGGAGCGTCATCACGTGACTGTGTGGTATGGCAGTTGTGTGTCGTTAGGATTCAGTTTGTTTTGTGGTTGCGGCAAATGTTTTATTACACAGTGTATTTTTCGTAAAGGAGAATATATACACGTACATGCTGATAATTTGTGGCAACGTCGCAAGCGAGTGTTTATTGCCCACTTCGTATTTGGGAGGTTACAAGTCCCGGTCCGGAGACCGGCGACCTTCATAGCTCCTAGTGAATTTCCTCAGGATATCCTGGCGCATTCCTTCTAGTACTCGTACCTCAAATTATGCCACGACTGGTTCCTTCTACAGCATTTCAAATTCGCGTGTGATCCATTAATACGACGGTGTATGTTCTGCGTCGTTAAATGAACAAAAAATTAGTAAATAATTGCTTACATAATTAAAACTTCATAAAATGTATGTTTTGAAAAAAAAATAATGATTAATAAAACTTTATTGTTTCCATCCGGCCCAGAAAGTCCTGAGTTTCTGAGACATAAAAATCGTGAATGTGAAAGTGGTGGGT